ATGCTGTTAGTAGGAATCACCATCCAGTCTGTTTCATGGATGAACAAACTGAGGGTCAGATATACCTGTGGATTTGCTTATAGCTACTTGGCCAGTGAGTGAATGAGGTGAATTTAAATTCATATTATTAGATGTCAAAGTCTGTGCTTTTATAAAGTTCCTAAGGATTCTTTCCTAATGCATTTCACTCCTTATCCTTCACTGACTTTTTAGGTGAGGAGAAGGGTCAGGGGAGAAAGGCATCAAGAAGACTGCACCAGACCACCCACAACCATTTCGCTTGTCTCCATGTTTGATTTTCTGGTACAATATTTGGGAAAATACAAACGTCCCTTGAGCCTAGTATTTTTTACAAAGTTTATAAATTATAATTATTCCCATCACCATAAAGGTATACGTCACAAACTATTTACTGCCAGCTAAAAAGCAGATTAACTTCACAAACTCAGGCAGCTCTGAGTTCCTCTCACTGTTCCATTAAAGCCCGCCAGGAAAAGGTAAACAGGAGGGAATGATGTCTTTTGGAAAAATAGAAAACTTTCATAAAAAAAATCTGTTTCTAGCTCGTCAGTATGGAATTTGTCACTAATCATTTTAAACTATGCCCTTTTATGCTTCTGCTGCGTCTTTTCACTTTCTGAGCAGGTCTTTGATGTAACAAAGACAGTTTCAGACAAGATTTCAGTTCATCTGGAAAAAAAATGGTTGAAGACTGGAGGCAAAATGCAGTGTATTTAAAATTTATATACTGGATAATGCCTTTGTTCTGAACTTGAAGATCCTGCAAAACTTCTAAGCTCCTTCGCCTTCCTCCTCTAAGCCTATTTGCTCCTTCTGTGCTGATTATTACGCGGTGGCAACTGTAACTACATGCACGGTCATGGCTGACCCTTCCTGATCAATTGCCAATCCATACAGGCTTGACTGATAAAAGAGCCAATTAGATTTAAGCAAATTAAGGGACATCACCAATGCCAACCACTTATTACACTGAATGCTGAATTCCATGCATACAAAACACTAATGCACCGAGCGCCATTAAGCGTTGAAATCCTAACCCCATTAGTAACTCCACATCTTGAAGGGGTAAAGGCCATAGGAAAGTTTCATATTTATGGATTAACATTTGGATTCCATTTTTTTAAAATTCTTTCCCTAGAACTCTTGAACCTGAACCATAATGCTATTCAAGAGCTAGGATTAAATATATTCTTCCTCCTAAGAGTATCTTAGTGCTAAATATAAGCATTATGTTATTACAAACAACCTAAAAATATAGTAATTGAAGAAACACAGAAAGTTGAGTTCATAAGGGTAGGTGAGCATGTGCTACATTACTAAAAATAGGAGATTTCTTCTGCAGTTTCCCGTATAATATCTAAAGTAAAATTTTAGAATAACAAGCGCATGCTGCTTGTGATTTTCTATTATACATGTATATGCTGAGGAAGTGGCAGCATCATCTTGCTTGCTTTAATTCCTATCTACAAATAGCATGGATTTATCATATTTTTAATCATATATTTTTGCTATCAGCAAAACAGACCTCGCTGCAAGCAAATGAGATATTCTGTATCTACCCAACTAAGAGATGACATACCCTTGTAAAACTCTTTACAACATGTTCCCTTACTTCTTCTTCCAGATTCCTGTATCAATTCAGAACTGTTCATCTATGCTCATCTGAGCAAAAGCAATCAGTATGGGAAGAAATCAGAGTGTGAAGTTGGTAAAACCTGAGAATATTTCTTACTTCCAATACTCTTGCCCTCCTGGGAGTCAGGGCTGTAGTTAAATCTATATGACCATGACATTCTTCCACTGAACACACAGTACAGAGGATGTTCCATTTTTGAGTCTGACTACAATATAATGTTTTTCAGCTAGACAGGAAGCCTGTGCAGGACTCAGCAATGATAAGCTTACAATGTTGAACTGGTAATTAAGCTATCTTGACTGGTTTATTTATTCATTCTCTCACCAATTATTCATTATGCACCTACCATGTGTCAGGTTTTGTCTAGGCACTGAAGATAAAAATGTGAATAAGAAACAGTCTCAGCTGTGTAGGAGGACGTTATACCCAGCAACTGTGATGCTCAAATTAAACAGGCAATTTCCATACAATATGACTGCTCAGTGGGATACAGAAAGACCCTTTCTCAGCCTTGGTTGGCCAGAGATACCTTTCTGATGGATCTAAAAATTGAGTGAGATTTGCCCAGATCAGAAGGTTGCAAGTGGTTTTCCAGGCCACATTTGATAGCAAACATTGAATCAAGAAAGAAGATAGGATTTTGTTTTTGCTCAAACCTTCTACTGGTATTTAATCTATATTGAGAAGCAAACATAGCTGGGGATGTTCTCATTACAAACCTTGCATAATCTAGCATTGAAAGATATGAGGAACTCAACTTCATCATAAAAAGGTCTAATATTGAAATCAAGAAAATGGCAATAATAATAACAATCCAAATATAATGGAAAAGTAAATAGCATATAGAAGTTCCTCTGCCCATAAATTGGTTCACTTCTGTAAATCGGTTCATTTGTTATTCATTTCAGTATGAAACACAGTTCACTGGACAGAGGCATGGAATATTTCTTTAATAACTCTCAGTACTAATTTAATTCTACTTAAACACACATATTCCAGTGAATGTCACATGCTTTTCAGCATGATTTTTATGTGTAAATCAGGATAATATGTTTTCAGATCATTAAGTAAGAGGAAGCATGAAGTAAAACCTATTTAATCAATGAGCTGTCACCTTTAAACTGCCACAAGGTCATAAAAAAAGATAATTTCAAAGCTATAAGTTTCCTAATTGTAATCAACAACAATGTAATGATGAAAGAAAGTGTGTCCTGATGGCTGTTATAAACTTGAGCAGATCTCTGTCTGTCTTTAAAGACATGTGCTTCCTCTTCTGGTGGAGGACCCTTTCCCAAATTCTGGGTGTTGGGTCCAGAGGAGGAAGGAGCACATTGGACCAGAGAGCAGGGCCCCACAAAGCATTATGATGATGATGCAGATAAGCAGGCAGAGCGTGAGGTGACAATGGACTGGCTCACCTCCCTCACTGCATCACCATGAAACAAGAGCCAATTTCTTCCTGGCTACATGCTGTAACCCTCAACTGCCAGGCATGTTCACAGTGTGTAACCAGGTAACAAGGAAACCTTGCTATTTTTAATTGAAAAAAATATATGTGATGACTCACATCATATATATATATATATATACACACACACACACACACACATATATATGATGACACACCATATATATAGACACAATATACATACCATATATATACACACCATATGTATATGCACACCATATATATACGTACACACACTGTATAGATATCATAGATATACATATGGCCACATATTCTTAAATACATGAATAATGAATTGAAATAGTTCTATTTTATGAACACAAGCTGAATACAAGTATGAGTTATAAATTATCTAAATCAGTGTAAATGCCATAGAATGCATCTATAAATCATTAAAGAGTCCTTATATCCTATCGGAAAGTTTTATTACTATGCAACTTAAAATCTTCACTAAATCACTGATTACTCTCCAATTTCTAACTGTGGATAAAATATATTAAATATTAAGGATTAAGAGTCAGTACAATTTTCTAGCATTTCCAGCAGGCAGATTAGAGTGAAAACTAAAGATATGCTCACCTACAGTCTCCTTCTTTGGTTTGGTTTGAACCGTACTTTGGTCTCAAGCTTTGAATAGGCACCTATCTCAGTTCAATGCCCCTATGAATTCTTGGCTCCTAAATATAATATGAGCTCACCTGGGCCAGCCCTAAGAAGTCCTTTTAGGCATCCTTTTCTCGAACAACACGGCTTCTGCCATTTAGTTTCAAGATTTTGTTCTACATCTAGTCACTGATTTTTATAATGTCCTAAAAGGGAGCTAGTGAGTTCCAGCACGACCGGTGAGGGGTCACTTCCTGGGGAAAGAGGTTCCACACACACTGTAAGCCATCTTTCTTTCTCTCCATGGATGTGGAGCTTGCTGAGTCCCAGAAGTTTGGCTGCAGACGCCAGTGTCGGGAGGCCCTCAACACTGGGGTATTTTGGGAAGGCCCACACAGCCGAGCACCCACCGCTGTGGGCCTTGCTCCTGCTATTCTGAGGCTTGTTTCTCAGGCTCAAGGGCCTGAGCAGTTTTCCTCCTTGCAGTTAGTTCCCACAGTTAGGACAAGGGTGGAGTTGATTGCAGATAACAGTAATGACAATTGTGATAATTTTCAATAGGCTGGGTCAATTTTAAGTAGAAAAATAAAATAAAATACCCAGAAAGTACAACATTTCACATAGGGAAGTAGCACTGGCGGGAGCATCACCCGGATGTGGTGTTTACAGGTGTTTATCAGAGGTGTGAGGAGAGTTTTCGCATCTGTTACCTGCACACTGCTCTCTACATTAACTGGAAGGGCTTAAGTGGACATCTAGGATAGCTTTGCAGAGAACAAGAAGGAAGAGAACCATGTACAGTAGGAAACCAAAGCTGGGGCCGGGGATTTGGCTCAGTGGTTCTGCCGTCTGCTTTGCAAGCACAAGGTCCTGAGTTCGATCCCCGGTACCCCCCCCCCAAAAAAAAAGAAAGAAAGAAAAAAAAGAAAACCAAAGCTGAAATGCAAAAAATATAAACTTTGAACCTAAGCGGTGCTTCTCCAAAAAAAACCCTTTTCCAATCTTCTTAACATGCAGAAAGCCAGAGATATATGTGTATGTGTGCAGCACACAATACACAGAGCACAAGAAAGCAATAGCAAGACAATACAAGAATATTGATCAAAGCATCTCAATAAAACCAAATCAAACCACCCAACAACCAGAAATACAATTGAGCCTTTGAGGTCTAAAAATAAAAATTAATTCCAACAATAAACAAGGCGTTCAGTGGTGGCTTAGTTCTGGGGCATTTATATAAAATTAAAGAGGCAATATTTTCCATGGACTTACCCCCTGGAGGCATCGCGATGGATACAGGCTTGCTTGTCAAGCTGCCTCGGGTGTTGAAAGCGTTCACTGTCACAGTGTAGTTGCTGAAAGGGACCAACCCAACGATGAGCACCCAAAGGTTGGCCTCTTCGCTGCTGTGGATAACTTTTGTGCCACTCAGAAGAGTGTAATTATTTCCTGCTGGTTAAACAGAAAATTAGTAAAATTAGTATGTACTGAAGGGTCATTTCCAGCTATTATTTGAATACTTTCTTGGATTCTTGAACATATAACATATACGAAATAGAGCTATAATGGCGCTACCCTAAAAGGCAATGCATATCCTCCATCCACCTGCAGAGCACTTTTACTGTGAACAAAATGTTACCTGAGTTACCATCTCGAACTCATTTATCCCAGTGATCAAAATAACTCGACAACTATTCTAAGACACTACGAAGACAAATCACAAGCCTCATCTATGTTAGTAAAAATACCCCAGACAGATAGATTAATCATTTGATGAGCTGGTTAAATTGTTTGAGGAATTTTATTAACCTATGATTTTTCTCTGGTATGCAGACAGAAGAAAATAACACATTTTCCTCCTCATAGGGTGGTTTCTGGATATAAATAGTACACTTAGATACATGCGTGATATTTTATATATCATCAACTATGGTATTTTGGCCTCATTTTGCATGAGAGGTAGGGTGATTTCTTTTTTGCTTAATGCTCCTTTGTGTCAGATTTTGTTAGAATATCTTGAAAATCAACTGGGGATTAGAGGTAAACGTATTCTCTTTGATGCAAAGACCTATTTTGGGGTGCATGGGAAAATGCAAAGGTGCCTGGCTGTGTAAGGAGTCACTTCCAGTCTATCTTCACTGTGCCCCAATACCCAGGCCTTTCTCAGCTGCCGCAAGCCCATTCTCGAGTCTCAGCTCGCTTCCTGCCTAGGCATTGCCTCCTCTCCCTTCTCAGCACTGGCTTACTTTCAAAGTTAAGAGGAGTTAGAAATTCGGGTTAAAATAAGAAAAGGAGTAGCACTAAAAACTGCAACATTCACTTCACTTTGTACTTTAATAGTTTCCTGAAAAATTTACTGAGGCAACCTTTTCAAAATATTGCTTAACTTTAGTCAAATAGTAGAATGTGTTATAATTACTGTATTCTTTAAAAACATAGAAAAGGGGACCATTAAGAATATCAAAATTAACTTCAAGGAGGCCTTCTTACTTTACCCAAACACCCAAAATACTGGACTTCAAGGGGGAAAAACAAGCATATTTGTGAGATCTCCAAATATTGATATAATCTTTATTGATTAAATGATTAAAAAGTAAAAGATGACAACATACTAAAAGTGATCTTGCACTGCACAGTAAAGAAATTTTAATAGTTGCAACATTTACAAAAGCACACTTTAACACAGTTTAGGTGCTGTTTAGTAAAAAAGAAAGGTCATAAATTTGATTGCTGGAGAGGCCTGCATTTGAACCCGTCTTTGTATTTTTTCAGTAATACAGTCCTTGCTAAGTCACTTAATACTTCCGAACCTCTAGTTCTTCACCTGTAAATGGGAATAAAAGTCAAAGTGCAGTGTTATTATGGTTTAAATGAGATCATTTCTTTACCAAGTATACTTTTGTGGGTTCCTTAATATACTCAATAGAACTACAGGAGAATCACCCTAAGGGACAATGCCTATGTTCCACCAACATGCACACTTTCATTTTATTACTTTATCAAAAAATGTCACCTGGGCTGGCACCAACACTAATTCATTACAGTGATCAAAATAACTTGGAACGATGCTATCATATTCATTGTGATCCATACAACTGATACATTGCAGAAAAACATTTAGAATTAGCAACTGCTTAAGTAGCATGCACCTTGCATTTTATTTTCTCCATAGCAATTACCTACTATCAAATCTCCACCCCTCCTAAACTAATAATGCATTATTAACCAAAATTCTGTTTTGTAATTAGCAAAACCACCACCATCCCATTGTCCCATCAGATTATATTTCAAATTCTGAAATCAATGAAGTTTGAATAATGAAAAGTGTGCCTGCTAATAATGGCCATTTTCATGAAGTATGGGTAGAGCAGACAAAAATTTAAAAATATATAAAATATCTAACAAGATATTTATAATTTTGGGATGGAGGAAGTAGCTAAAATTTTTATTGTTGCAAATACTCAGGAATGTGTTTTCCGTGAGGTGTGAGCATCCAATAATTTATTACTGTAGACTTAAAATTGGCAAATCCAAAGAAGTGCTTTATTTTATTTTAAAGGAAATAAATGGTGCTTATGGGCTAAAACATGGGCATAATACTTTCTATTCCATGACAGCAAAGCCAGAGCAGAAGTACACACAGCTGGGTGACTTCCAGGCCCTGAAATGGAAATAGCTAACGTACTCCTATCTATGGGGCTCATCTTGCCAAGAGGTTCTGAAACCTGAGAGAGTTTCCCTTTATCTGTACAGCTGGTGAACTTGATTCAGCTGAACACTTCTGAGCTTCAGCCACGTATATGAAGCACTGTGCTCATGTAGTGAGAAGTTCAATCCCTGTGAAACAATACTTCTGCACTCAAGAAATCTGGTTATAATTATTCCTCAAAAAACTAAAACCAGAAATACCATCCAACCTAGCTATTTCCCTAAGTATCATCCCAGAAGAGTTAAAGGCATCCTATGAAGTGATCTATGAATACCAATATTTATAGCAGCACAACTTGAATTAGCTAAATCTTGGAAGCAGACTATGTGTTCATCAACAGATGAATGGATAAAGAAAATAGAGTATTTATATACAATGGAGTACTACTCTGCCATGAAGAAGGATAAACTTGAGTTGTTTAGAGAAAAATGGAGGCATTTTGAGACCATAGCGTTAAGTGAAATAAATCAGACACACAAGCTTAAACAGTGCATAACTTTCTTCATGTGAGAAACCCTAAGTGTAAATAACTTAAAGAGCTAAAGAAAGGCTAGGCAACAGGCAATAGGGAGCCAGATCTTTGGTAAATGGAAAGGGGATCTCGTGATAGAGGGAGGAGAAAGGGAACAAAGAGAATTAAGATGTGTTATGTATTTCACCCCACCGTGAATGCAATCCATATGTACTGCAAATGTACTAATGAAAAGTAAAGCAATTACGTGTGAGTCTTTTCTAGTCTTTGTCTAAGAACAGTTACATGATCAGCATCAGAGGATCTCCTCAAGTTCTCCTGATACCTAAACCCTCGGAAGCATTTTCAGCCACAGCTGAAACAACTGCTGCCATTGTCACAAGCCCTGCCGTAAAATTCCAAAAAGGTCAGCTCCCTCGCAGAGCGCCAGCAGGTGCTCCATCTCCTGTGCCCTGGTAGGGCTGTGCACGTCTCCTAAAGATGGAAAATCACAAATCAATAACAAAAATTCTACCATGAAGCCACCGGAGCATCACTTTACAAATTCCTAGCCAGCTGCAAATATAAGACCAGTGACTAAACATCTATTTCTATAATGTCAGTGAAGGATTTTTACCCTGCATTTTGTTGATTTGCTTTTGGAGCAGAATTTGAGCTGCAAAGCACACACAACTAGCAGCTTTGGAAATGGCATGATGGGGGGAACTATATTAAGTACCCCTTTATTCTAAGTTTCCCAGATAACGAAATTAATACATGCGATTATACAATTAGTTGTAACATTAAGTTCTAGTTACAGAACAACGATTACTCAGTAATTATAAGAAGTGTATAATTACTCAATAATTATGAGAAATATGCAATTATATAACCATTCTGCTCAGCTCAAAAAAGAACGTGTGTACCTGCAGCGGCTGCACAGTCGGATAAGTGTAACATTCCCACCTCCACTAAGGTACAGTTCAATTCACAGATCCCGAGCTAAATGACAGTTTCAGCTCTCCGTGGAGCCTGAAAGTCCCCAGATTCAAGAGCAGAGAAGGAGCCACGGATGATCTCTTCCGCATCTCATTCTCCCCATCCTCCCTTTCTTCCTTTGCCCTTTACAGATATGGGCTCCTAGACACTGGAGACAGGTTCTCAACCTGCAGGCTGCCCCTCCTGCATGGGACGTGCTTTATCACTTTTCACTGCTTAGACTTTGTTTCCAAAGGGCTGGAAAATGCTCAGCCTCACAAATCTCGCTAGAAAATGTGGAATGGATAAGCATTTCCTATTGCAGGTGACCCTCCTCTCTGCTCAGCAGCAGCTCTCCCTATTTGTGAGCAGAAGAGGATGTGTGGGTCCATTTCAGCTTCTGCATTCAGGACCCACGGTTCCTCTTTCCCTGTGCCCCCACGTCTGTGGTGCTCCTTGATCCCCCTGCGTCCACCCTGGCTCTGTCCGAGCCCCTGGACATCAGCCAGGATTGCACGAAACCCTTTGTGGGAGCGAGTTCTCTCCACCAGCCTTCCAGGGCTTCCACACAGCAGCTTTGCCCGGGTCGGCCTCCTACACGCTCCCGCCTTGGGGTAGACCGCAGACCTTCTGGGCGAGAAGCAGGGCCCCGAGCCACTGGTGAGTGAGTCCTCTTCATCACCATAACCACTGAGAACTACTGATTTAGTAAATCTATAGTTTGCCTGGTCTGAAAATAATGAACAAAACCCATTTCCCCTGCTTTAAAAGTAATTAGATCATACTTGGCATCCTTATTAGTGATGTCATTAGAATCTAGAATAGGGTTATAAAATGTTTACTCTATTAGTGGAATAATACATCCAAAAAGAGTACAAAGCTAGGTCCATCTCTACAGTCTAATAGAGCTGTTCCATAAGAAATTTTAAAATATTCATAAAACGATTTTTTTAAATGAATGGCCATTACTGCACACCTGAGAACAACAGCTTTGGGACTTCCGAGTTAAGTGTTTTCTGTCTCCCACCGGCGCCCTTTTCCCGGCAGGGCGCATGTGCTGAAAGGAAGGACGCTTTGTGTATTGGCCAAGATCACGCATCGCAAGGAGGAAACAAATGTTGAATGAATCATACACAAATTTAAAAATAAACTCTTTGCTGCGACTTCAGGACATTCCATACTCCAAAGGATCTTCAAAGATGTTAAAATATTCAGTACTACCTTCCTACTTTATTTTGAAGAAATATGTATTACACGGCGAAATAGCCAAAGTAAATTTCATATGGCCACCAGATTTCATTTGTATAGAATCCC